TACGCTGATGCGAGCATGATTATTTGGGCTGCCTGTCTGCGCATCCCTTGGAACGCAGCTAAGCACAAATGCTTTTTGCCCGGTCACGCTCAGGTCGCGACGTTAGCTCAGCCTGAGTCGCTATTTCTGGAAGAGCCTGACCTCGCCGCCGACGGGCGCCGCTCGCGAACATTGGGTCGGTATCGGAGGGGACGGGAGAGGGGTCACCCCCAGCACCCCCTCCCCACCTCTCCCCAACCGCCACAAGTGCAATCATCGGACGAAATGAGCGCCGGCTAATCGAGATGAATATCGACCGTAGCCGAGCCCCAGATTCCGGGCATTTCGCCTCGGCCGACCGGCCGACCCCGGCTGCCGCGGCTCCAGCAGACGGCCACTGAGAGCCATCCGTGCTCCGAGGAGACGGTCCGGCCAGGGCTGGAGGTCTGAGAGACCAGCGCTAAACTCGGATACCGCAAAAGTCCACCCTGATAGGAGATTAAGCGATTAATCCCGAGAAGCTGTCGACGATTCTCTAAGTCTGGAAATGTTGCCCGGTTTATCCCGGTGAGGCAATTCATCGCAGTGATACTTTTGGAGAGCTGACGTCAGCAGGGGCAGTGACATGCGCGGCCAATATAGAGCCATGCGTCAAAAGGTAGGTCACGGCTTCAGATATTTTGCCGCCGGCCAGCCACCGTAGAAATAAAATACCTACTACTGATTCCTGAATTATCTGGTGTAAGCAGGCTAAAGCGGAGTTGTCATTCTATCCATGTAGTGAGCAAAGCCGTCCCGTTTCGAAAGAGAACTTGCATCGGTGACAGTATCTCCGCTTCACACAAAGTTTCAGAGACGAGCAGCTCCGTTTCTGTCACCAGCCGCTAGATAATTGGCAACGGTGTGCCACGGGCCAGGTCACATCTACAATAGCACTCAACTGCCTGCTCCCAGCGATAAAACGCTCATCAACTCCCCTATCCCATTAGCTGTTCACACCGGCTGTCGGCCGGCCCTTCATCTCGTGTATCGCCCCTGATGGAGCTCAGCGCTCGCTCGGCCAGCCGCCGGCACTGCAGCCGCGCTCGGCCGGACCGGGCTCGTCGTACCGGCGCAAATCACAGTCGCCTGACAACATCGCGCGGCGCGTCATCGATTTCTGGGGCACACGGCGCGCGCTGTCGCCGGCCCGGTGCGTCACTGAGCGCCTCGAACGACACCGGCACGGGAGCGACGAGCACGTGCCTGGGGAGCACGGATCAGCCACCCGAGCGCTCACTGTCTTGTCAACGGCTCCGTCAGCCCAGCCAGCCTAGCCCAGCGTGTCTATCAGATATTCAGGCTGTAAGTCCAACACAGATGCCCTGGGCATAGCTCAATCCAGTGACGGTGCCCGGCAGTCCGCACCAAAAGCTACCCAGACGGACACGGAACCCACCAGCTAAGGGGACTGAGCCGATTATCAAACGGTTCCAGATGAGTCCACCCCAACGACCGCCGCGTTACATGTATCTGGCATCGATCAAAGCGTAAACATTGACCTAGGAAACCTGATCGAACCAGACGGTCCGCTACCTTCATTGAGTATGCACCGGCAGACCACATCGAGCGCCAGTGGCCGACCGACGCTCGCTGTTCTCCGCGCGCCAGCCGATACCCTGCGGGGTCCGGCCAGGTGTCACCCATTGTCACCCGTAGCCGTCTGTTTCTAACCGGAGCCCGGCGGCCCCCGGGGCACGGCTCTCGGGCCAGTCCCCGCCCACTCTGCCGGTGGACGGACCGGGGCGTGCCCTCGGGCGCTACCGGCGCGGCAGATGGTGGCCGATTTCCGATCGACCGAGACGGCCGGCGGCACCGCGGCCCGCCCACCGCCGCCGGCAGCCGGGCGCGCGGTCTCGGGGCTCTGGTGGGACGGCACCGCCCGGCACCGGATCACCACGGCAGACGAGGGGTGACAGTAGTGGGCTACACGGAGTCACGACACGCCGCTCGGGCCAGACCGAGCGACACGGCATCGCGCCTCACCATAAGGCGACATCCTAGCTCTTTCTGCATCACTCAAACTTGGTTTGTGCTTCGGGACCGCTAATGAGAAAACCATGCGGGAGTTTCGAACTGACCCATCCCGCATCTGACCTTTACGCGCAGTGCGCAGGCAGACGACCCAGTCGGCACCAGAGACGCGTGAAATTCATGCGACAGGAACGGCTGCTATCAAACTACCATACCAATCCTACCACACCACACCACGACTCTCCTGTTCTGTCCGACCGAAGTCCTAACGGCACGGTACAGCGCCCAACCAGCCCTGACACCGCACAGTACCCCCATGGATTATTCAGTCCAGTGACGTCACTACCAAAACGGCCGGCCGCCGCCCGGCCAATCGGCCGTCGGCCCGCCACACCAGCAACGGTCCAACCACACACGGGAAAGGCCGCATCCGGCCGCATAACGTGGATTCGTAGTGCCTGGTGAAATACCAGCGTAGTTACGATTCATAAGTCCAGCGCATGAGCTTTAACCCGCGCACCGACGGGGGGGGCGGATATCCGCCCCCCCCCCCCCTGAGGTTTTTCGCGAATAGCGGGAAAACCGCGGCGCGTAGCGCCGCGAAATTTGGTATGACTATAACCTCATCAATTTCACACATGGTGTGCAAGTTTGAACCTCCTACCTTTTAAGGTCAGGTCACCAGGTCACTTTGAATGACCCAACCTCAAATCACTTTTTTGCAACTTTGTCACCGTGCCAGAGCTACAGTAGATGTCGGAGGCCTTTGAAAGTCGCAGGATATTATTAGATCATTAGTAGCTACAATTTGTATATCTCGGAATTTTGATATCGGTGACCTAAGGTCAGGTCAATTTCGCGACCTCCCCATTATAAGTCAATGGGGGAAAAATCAACTCCCTGTTTTTACCACTAAAACGGGTCGGAATGGCCCCATATACCATACATGACTTCATATACGATCAACCTTCACTACCTTGAGGTCTGTTTTGCTGTTGGGCAGCTGTGAGGTCATGTGACGTCATCAAAGGTCACCAAAGGTTTTTGGCTAATAACTCCGTACAGGAACAAGATACAGACGCGTGGATGGTCTCATTGTGTTCAGCTCGTCAAGACGCATCGAATGATATACATGATGACCTCGAGGTCACGTGACCTGAGGTCAACCTTTGACCTTGACCTTTCGAGGTCAACATATATCATTCGATGCGGATTGACGAGAGGATCACGATGATGCCCTTAGTTTGTTCCTATCTTGACTAATTCGAAAGTTATTCTAGAAAAACTCTCTCCATATCTAGCGCCGCCATTTTGACTTTTTCGACCCCTGTGACGTCATCTTTGACCTGACCTGAAAATGACCTTAGTAAAAATTGTAGATCTTGGCCGTGCGTATCCGATGCCGTTTACCGCTTGTCGATATCTTGCTTCGTTCTCGAGACATCCGCCCCCCCCCCCCGTCGGTGCGAAGTTGGCGCAGACCCCCGTCGGTGCGCGGGTTAAACGGTAAAGCACCATTGGAGGCACGACATTCGCCAATTTTCTTTACCCGAATTTTAGCAGCCCGGCTGTGAAGCTGCTGTAACACATTTTCCCGAAACATGGATTCGAGTTTCACCTAAATCGTGCTGCCCCAGACCGTCAGACCGTCTGTTTATACAGTGCCGCTGCCAGGTATGTGGGCGACGCGTCCGAAACACTCTCCCCTCCCCCAGCGACTGTGCGTGGCAGAGCCCTGGCCAGAATATGAGCATGTCACCATGGGCTGGCGACCAGTCCAAGGGATGTTCATTGACAGCTAGACATAACAATGAAGCCAAATGGCAGACTACGGAGAAGTGCACGACTCCACCCTCGGCGCGCTTCTGGTGAATGCGGTAAGTCGACCGGAGCCAGTGTCAGTTGTTGAACAATGCGGAGTTCCGATCATGCTCCTATATATAGCCAACTGAGTCACCCGAGCCCCGTCTTCCACGGTAAGTTGCGCTCTAATAGGCGCGCGACCGATTCCCAGAATACTGCTGAAGAGGCGGCACACTCCAACGCACCGTTTAGTCATGGTGACGAGAGATGCAACATACGAAGTGACGCACTATAAAGAAAGCACGCATAGATCACGTAGATTCAGCGTCATCTGCAAAGAAGAATATTTCTGCAATGTGCACCTAGTGGCAGAAACATGGAAAAGAAAAAATGACGCCGAGAAGACCAGTAACGTCAAGTAGTCCAGCTCAGCGTATAAACCGTAACGCTCCCGACAGTCAGAGCCACAGCCTGTTCAGTCTATCACCAGAGCGTGAAAATGAGAGCGAACCATGCCGCGGTGTTCAAGTAAGCGGAGAAAGACAGGACGGGAGGAGACACAGCACGTGGTCAACGGCGTCAGATTACAGGAGGGTCGGCACTGGGCAAAGGTCAGCGAGGCAACCGGTCAAAGGGTACAGCAGGGAAGTGGAGGGGTGGGGAGAGGACAGTGTAGGGTGTGCGAGGGGGCGAGAACAACAGGAAGGGTCAGGGAACAAGGGCCAGTGAAGCGGGGACAAGGGTTACTAGATAAAAATATCGGTCGTTATCTATGGGAACATGAAAACTGGAAGGTCTTTAAAAGGAAATAGTTTGTTTGTCTGAGATAACTTTCCATTCCACATGTCCGCTTCAAGTACGAAAATATTATCATGTGACGCTTAAATTTAGATGCACTGTAACAAACAACTCAGACACTACTGGGCAAAACATTCATATAATTCAAATCACATTTTAGACGGGGACATTTTTCGGCGAGGCAAAACTCACTTGTAAGCGTCATTAGGTTTCCTTCTACGAAAGGCTACGCATCATGCCTTCGACAGTTACGACTTAGGATAAATAAAGAGAAGCAGTCAGCGTGCAATCTGAGACAAATCTGGGGGCGGTGGGGACATAGGATGGCCCGCGGAGATGGGTGGCGGTCCCAGCGTGCGGTCAGGAGGCCCCTGCGGACGGACGGACCAGGACACTGCCACCATTACCTGCCATCGCTCTCTCTCGCTCGCTCGCTCTGCCTCTAGGAGGAGGTGGCGGCGCGCGGCGCAACAGTCAGAGGCGCTGATCAACTGGCGGCGGCGCCTGCGGGAGACACAGCAGCCCTCTCTCAGCAGAGCACGGCAGGCAAGGAGCGAGCGAGCGAGGGGCGCGCGCGGTCCGCGCAGCAGAGACCGCTGGCAAACGGGCAGCCGTAGCGAGTACCGCCTTCGGGCAGCGCGGCAAGCCTGCGACCCAGCCAGCGACATCGCGGGGCGAGCAACAGATAGTCGTTCAGCTGAGCAGATAGCAGCCCACGCGTCTATGCCGCCGCTCCTACAGTAAGCCAATTAGACCAGAGAATAGAGAGTAAGCACGGATAAACCATAAAAAAATGCACAGTAAATAAAATAAAGCAAACGACACAGAGACACAAACAGACATTACACAAGGTCATAAAATAGGAGCAGGAGTCAAGACAAGGACTATGTTGGTATCTTTGGTCTGCAGCTCAATAAAACCCGCCGCAGCTTATCCGCGGTATCCGACTTATCGACACCTACAGCCTACCCACGCGAAATGTCGCAGCATCTCTCACAAAGCCATTTGGAGGCATTTCCAATCGCCTCCCCACTTCCACCTGAGCACAACATCAGCATAACCACTGACCAATGGCCATCAATTTGCGCCGTACTAACAAGATTAACTGGCTGTGGGACACCAGTTTTCCATCTCACGGCCCCGTCGCATGGTACGGCTACTCGGATAAACAGTACACATCACCACCTGCCATCTAACGGCCTATTATGACACTGCAGCTTCACGGCTCTCCCGCCGCAGTCAGAGGTGTCCCCAGCGGCCTCATACCCGGCGCCTACACTGACACGGCAGCGGTGGCAGTCCGCTCGCCTGGCGCGCACACACCTAGCCCCTAGGGGACAACAAGCTCAAACCCACTATAAAATGGGTTTGGCTCTTCTGAAGCGCCACCTCCATGGCCAGTTTTCAAGTCTAAAAATGGGACTGCACAGTTTTTTATATTTTAGCATCAGAGCGAGCTGTATCGTTAACCCTCCCCACTGAGACAGCAGGATTAGTCACACATGAATTTCGAACTTCTGGGCTCCTAAAGAACATAGGATTTCAAGAAAAAGTGAGGAAAATATCAAATATTAGTTGAGATGAAACTCATTATTTTTTATAACAAAGTGCCCAAGCTTAGCTATCCACAACTACCTCTAAACAAATAAAATGCAAGAAAACGCTGAAACAGGAACTAAGCAAATGTACAAATATGTGTATAATAAACTGCAAAAGGAAGGAACCTGGTAATTTAGGCCAGGATATTATATTATTGATAGTTATTGTAGGTAGCATAATAACGTCCAAACCTTAACCAATTTTGTTAAAATTAATTGGATTCATGTCAATTAGTAAATTAGTCACAATATGTAGGTAGGTACCCATCAAATATGTCCAACTTCAACCAGCTCTGCTGTCAAATGTGCTGCACCACAGAAGACATTTGTGATAACACATTTGTCATAGTAATTAGCCATTGATTAAAGAAAAGGCTCTGTAAATACTACATACCAAGCACACTCTTCCAGAGCTACTTAACCAATATTTTGGCTTAATAAATAGACTCAAGCATCTATAACCAGACTGAGTATGTCAAGAACAGTTAACTAACAAACAAATGGTCATAAGCTATGAAGCACACAATATCTATTTACACTTACTCAGCAATACTAGAATTTGGACACTAGACATCATGAAAAAATCAATACTAAAATGATATTACAGCTTGGAAACCAGACAGAAAGGAAAATCAAATGATCAACTCTGGAATGCTGTCAAAATTCCATATAAGCATTCTGCTTCCACTTCCTTTACTTAGTTAGGTATGGCTTAAAATAGCAGCTTCCATTTCCTTTCTGGTGGCAAAGTGAACAGTTTTTTTTTTAAATAAGTAATCTTCTAAAATGTTGCCCTCACTTCCAAACACCAATGTGTTTCATCCTTTGTATCCACTATCCATGGTTATCTATTCTATGGCATAGGAAGTACCTACAGGCTACATGCATAACAAATGTGCTTTTATTCCTTTTAAAAGCAAGATCATCAATGGAATGAAATATCAAGCAAGGCCTGCAATAATGGGGATGGTTTATACAATAGCAATTTAAAGCTTTTGAGCTAGGTAAACTAACACTTAGCACACGATTCAATCAAAATTGATACCCATGTAAGAAGTAAAAGCACCTAATTCTGCCAAAGCAGCTGGCACCTACCTATACCTAGAAATTGACTATGAAAGTTCATATACCACATGTATTTTACACATGTACTGTCACATATGATTCACATAGAAGAATTATGCCCATAATATCAGGCATTACCTTTTAACCCTCGCCCGCACATGGGGGGGGGTGGTTGCCACCCCCCCCCCCCCCAGGCAGTCTTTCTGCTCTGCACTCAACATTTTTAGAGCTAGAAGGCTGATTTTTCGTATAGCTGCTCGTCTATCCTTTCTTGATGTCCACTGAAAATTTCAAGTTTCTGTGATTTTTGGTTTCGGAGATATGACCTTGTTTTTCAGGTCATGTCATGACCCAAATGGCCAATTCTCAACATCTTGCGTTTGCCATGGGCCTTGTGAGCTTTTGACACCCTGATTTCGGCCTTTTTTGCCAGTCTTACCTCCCATCTATCATGGAACATGTTGTTTGACGATGTACAGGGGTCAAGGTCAGGGTCAAGGTCAACCTAGGTCATCTAAGATAATTGCGTTTTAGGCAAGCTGAATTTACTTTTTGTGAAGTTTTTTGACTGCATTTTTGGTAAAAGCTTCTCAGATCATGATTTCATGTGATATGGACCCAAAAACAATCGGTGCGCACATCAGTATACACACAGACACACACAGACATACAAACACATATAATTGACCTTGACCTAACTTGACCTGAAATGACCTCAGCAGCAAAATTCTGGTCGGATAGTGTGACAAAGAGGTTCTAGCTGGCTTGGCACCAGAAAACAGCATCGTCATCGGTATTTGATAAGCAGCGCACTTGATATCCAACGGTGACCCAAAACAGCAACATTTTTTAGTTTGACCTGACCTGGAAGGTCAATGACTGACCTGAGAAGGTAAAACTGGGTATCATTGGATTCGTCTCTTCCCAAAGAATCTTTTTGGTCTTTACTGCTAAGCTCTATCTCCAACAGGAACGAAATGGCGCGGGGGGGGGTGGCAACCCCCCCCCCCCCCATGTGCGTTCTAGGATGGGAAAATGGCATGTGCGGGCGAGGGTTAACAGTAGCTCATGTAACAATGATGCATAGAGAATTAAAGGAGGCATATGCAAAGTGTTACCACTTACCGCACACAGTCACTCAGCCCTGTAAGGCCAGGGTAAGTACTGTTCCCTGATAGGCAGATTCTGGTGCTCAGGGTTCTCAGGGTGCTCATTCTGGTTCTGGTGCTCAGGTTTTGGTTACTCTACCAAGAGTAACCAAACTGATTCATAATAAATTTGAAGCCATTCACTTCAGCTAATAATTCTGTTCAAAGTCCCAAGCTGTGTACTGTTAATACAGATCAATATCAACACTAGTTGGTAAACCATTCCAAAAACATTTAACTTGGCTTAACCAGACATTTTCCCTTGCAACCATGTCAAACATTGAATAAAGAACTGCTTAAATCAAACAGATGTTAGGATAAGGCATGCAGTCTGAAAATTCATGCAGTAATATCAATATTGCAGAATACCATCACAGTCGGTGACACTCCAGGGAAATAAGCTAAAATTAGAGCGCTCTATTTATTGCTCCCGCTACTTCATCGTCTCCCATAGGGTCCTGTGTTGAGCTGGTGTCGAGGCTCTAAAAATGACGCCGATTTTTGCACCCTTCTCACAAAAACCGCTCGGACCGCCTGGAAACTAATTGTTCCGCTCTAAAAATTTCATGATCGACGGGAAAATGAATGAGGAAAAGATTGGTCCTGAAATAATTCTGAACTCCCTGTAGAACATATCGAAATATGGCTGCAAACTAGGAGCATGACAAAATCGACAAAACAATACAAATAAACTTACCGGGATTTTTTTATTTTCCATGCATCTGTGTATGAAATCAGTCGGTTTTTCGGAAAGATCATCTTCTGTTTAATAAATAATTCCACAATTGCAATCGAGAAAAAAAACATTTCCGCTGTGACAGCAGTTTTGGCATTGTGCCAGTAGTGTGGAGTGCGCGGTGCTGCGTGGTCGTCGGGGCGGAGTTGTGAGTATTTTCGGTGTTTTAAATGGTTGATGGCCATTTGAACCAGCTTTATATTATTTCCTACAAATTTTTGCATCAAATTATTGCTTTGAAAGACCATTGAAACCCCTCATCTCTTCATGAAGCACGATCATATTCATCGTCGACGAAAATGGCGCGGGACTCCATGTGCATTCCGATTGAAATAAATCGTAAATTGAATAATATTCGATGATAAGTATCATATTCTAGTGACACATTTTCATAAAATAAGGCATAAACTTTGCAAGGAAGTCAACATCGGATAATTGGATTCTTATTTAGCTCACATATCCTTGTAGTAGTCAAATGGCTCCATTGATAGATTAATGTAAGTATATGTTTTGGCTTGATGTTTGCTGTGAAACCACCCAACCACTTGCTGGTTGAGTGGTTTTCTGATAATTACCTGATAATCATTTCTCCTTTTCCTTAAAAGAAACTGAAATTCCTTTCAAAGTAATCCATTTTTAGGAAAGGCGGCTTGCTCATTGACATTTCATGTTCTTGTTTTGTTATTGCTGGCAGTATTTTGATACAATAATGCAATATGAATTTCTTGCAATAATAAAACCTAAGACAAACTTAGTTAATGCGTCAATCAAACACCCAACAGAAAGATTGTGAGTCCTTGTGACGTGAAGTAGAATATTCTATGAATGTGTTATTTAGAATATGCCAAATATTAAATTAATTATTATTTGATACTGATAGCTGAGCATGTGAATTATGCCACAATATAATTTCATTTTCTGGTTTTGAAATAGCCGGCAGTATTTTACTTCAACAAATGTAATATACATGGAATACATGTTGTTATGTTATGTTAAAGGTTTAATAACAGCCAACAGAAGGGCTGTTTCAGCAGATAATGTTTGTACCTTATGCATTACCTTTCTTTTCTGCAGGACCATGCTTCCGCTGGGTGGTCGACATTTGCCTCCTGAAGAAGTTGAGCAACATGAAGACCACCAGATGAGGTGTCTGCAGTTCATGTGGAACTCTGCAGACTAGTGTTATGCCAACCACAACCAAAGTGCTGTGATCATGGAGGCATGAACCTCATGACAACACTTCAGATTTGCAGTTGAACCAAAGTGTGATTCAAACCACCTGTGGCATCTCACTCAATGTGAACAGTGTGATTATTGTGCAGTGTTCAGCTGCAACTAAGACATTTATTAGTGACTTGTTTTGCAATTAGCCACCAAAAGCATTTTTTGGGCTGGCTGCTGTAATTTGTTGTGCACTGCGCAATAGTGGTAGTGTTTTGTCACTTGTCAAGTTGTCAGTTGTGCATGTTGCATGTTTCTCTTCCCTCGGCCCTCATTATCAGTTAAGTGGTGAATTGGCATCACTCAGTCTCCCCAGATCTCCATTGACTGTCTGTCAACCACCTAACTTGAGATGGTATTTGCTAATAGTGTCAGAAAAGAAATGATTGTAGACATTTTTAGGAATATGAGCTCCGTTTCATGCGTGTTCCAGTGGTCATTTTGTCACATGTCCCATAGTGTAATAAATGGAAACTGTTGTTCCCTTTTGAAGGTACTCGCGGATGCAGAAAGCGTTGGGCCTAATTATTAAACGCACCCTCCTATCAGCGACGCACGAAATCGACAAATATCCTTTTTAGAACAGGAGGAAACGAAAACTTGTGAACATAGCTGTAGCCTGTACCTACAACAGTGCATAAGGAATTGAAATTCTGGGAGTGTTTGAAATTCGGAGAAACTCAAGTTGTCGACAGGTATGCCCCCTTGCACGTCAAAGACCGCCTAAAAAACAAACGTCTACAAATGAAGGCAGTATTCGTATGTTCGTTGTAATTGCAGCAGCCTAGCAACATGTATTGCGGTCCGATGGCGAATTACACTCGTGCTCAAAAACTATGCCGGTAACTGCCAATGCACTTAGGTCATAGGTGAGGAGAGGAAGGGTTATGTCATATGTCAACATCATAGAAATGGCTTCATCTGAACTGTGCCTATTGTACATAATTCAACCAATCTATGCATTTCGTTTCTTGCAATCTACTCATGCTTTCACTCCAGCTTCAGAGTAATCATCCCATATTGTGCGTCTTAAGATATTGATTTCTATGGCGGTTTGCAATTGCTAGCCACGTCTTATCTCAGTTTGGTGGCCCCGCATCGGCCCACTCGGCCGCTCTAAAATTGACTTACGGAGGAGGATGGTGGCTTTTATTTTAGCTTCTCCGCTGACTGCGGGGAGCGCCGTCGCCGAGGTAGGAGCAATAATTAGCTTATGTTTGGGACTAATTTCCACGCTTAATTAACATTTTAATGTTATTTTAATTAATTCATGTTAATCTTTGACGCATTCTCTTTCTATTGATACCATCCACCGGTCTGAGAAGTACTGCCTTGCTGCGTAAGGGCCGATAAAAGATCACGCTTTTAGGGGTATCTCTTCAACATGGGGCAGGAGCAATAAATAGAGCGCTCTACTTTTAGCTTATTTCCCTGGTATGTCACCAACTGATCAAGGTTCATACATGATTCAAACAGCAAAATCCATGCAACTGATTGTGCAGAGAAAAGAAACAGAAGCTACACTTACTGCTGACTTTGACGTTTCCCCAATTGTGGTGCTGATTTTGAGATTGGCTGCTCCCTTCAATCATGGAAGTAGTACGTGGACGACCACTCATCCTTGCATAGGAGGGTGGAATACGGCACTAGAGACACATCCACTCCGCTCTTGAATGTTGTCATACAATAATGGTTTTTCAGTTATCACACAATGTGCTGTCCAGAGATCAATAGCTCTCAATATACAATTTCATCCACTTCTTTAGATGAGCCCATTTGCATTAGGGCCAGGCCAACACGTTGGGTACAGAATCAGTGCACATTTAACTGCTTAAAATGTCCAAGCAGTCTAAAACAGTGCAGCACTGTATTCTTAAAAGTTCCATAAATAGGTATCACTGATATCTTCTTTCATATTTTACCCGAACTCCGATATCACTAGCATTGAAGAAGTAAAAATTACAACCGCATACCACACAGATACCTTCCGCAGCACATTCATACATATTCGGCGCACTAAATCATCGCTCACGAAGGAAACCGCGGCAATCACTATTGCCGCTTTTTCGACGCCACGAACGAGACTATCCGAAACTTTGCGAGAAAAGATGTGACGTCAATGCTACGGTAAATAAGATACACCGAAATTGCTTACATCGCCCACATTTTGACTGCATAAAATTTATGCACAATCGAATTATAATTTATGCACAATCAGCACCAGTTACGACCAAATGTAATGAATCCATGACAGATGTAAAATGACGATAAAAACTATCGTCATAATTATTCTGGTCATTTTACGACCAAATGTAGGTAGGGTAGAGTGGGGCAAAGCGCCCACCCTAACTTTCCAGCCCCAGTATCTCTTTATCTTACAAATTTGAAAGACAACTAGGTAGCTGATCTGGTAGCTCATTACCTTGGCTTTCTTCGAATAACACATCAGAAACAAGTGGCATGCATGGTTTTTGAGATATGCCATCCGAATTGAGAGGACTACAAATCGGGCGTTTTGCCCCACCCATGGGGCATAACGCTCATATGAGTGGGGCATAACGCCCAGTCCTGAACGTTTCATTACACGCTCGGTACTCTGACAAAAGAATGCAGTATTTATCCATTCTCATTTCGTTTGACTTTAAATCAATAGATTACACCACCAAACACATCTTGAACACTGTTGTTACCACCCCACTCCTCATTCAGTCAACGGGCTGTCACCGCCTTAAAGAGCGGAGATTAGTTCGTGCGAATAAATTGTTCCAGGCGATACTAACCAGTATATTGCATATTTCATAAGAATCCTGAGCAGTAGAAACGTATCCCGACACTCACTTTCAGCCAAAAATGTTCGCAAATACCCGTACTGTATAACTCCCATTAGGGGTAAAACGCCCATGATGGGCGTTTTGTCCCACACCAAAGTGGGCGTATTACCCCAACAGCACATTCAAAACGAAGTCCACCAAAATTAACCCGCGCCCGGCTGGGGGTCCTGGATTTCCACGCCCTGCTGGGGGGGGGGGGGGTGTTTGAACACCCCCCCTTGTAACTCGGCTCCTGGGCCACGTAGCGATACGCGGAAGGCGGCGTTCGAAAGAGCGTCAAAAATAAGGACGAAATCACTTCGGTCAATTTTTTGGTCAGGTCAAAGGTCAGGTCACCAGAGGTCATAGAAGGCAAAATTTCGCCGATTTCCAGGTCGAATGTCGAAAATTTCCAAGAAGCCAACGCATAACTCGGGAACCAATAGAGCTACAGCGCCGCGGAAAAGCGCATTCGATAGCCCTATTAACGCCCTTTCTGAGTAATTCTCTCAGATTTGACCTAACGTCAACGGTTTTGCCTGCAGGGGGCAAAAACTGCAAAAATAGCCGATTTTTTCGGAAAACGTTTTTCTGCAATAACTTTTGACCCAAGCCTTGTACGAGCTTACTTTTACCGGCATCGTGTTCCTCTCGTCAAGACGCATCGAATGAACTATAACTTGACCTTGAAAGGTCAACTTGAAAATTTGACCTCAGGTCAAGGTCATGACCTGACCGGAAAGGGTCATGTTGCATATCAGTCGATCCGTATCGTCGAGCTGAACACATCTAAGGCGTTTTCATCGCTCTAGCATGCCTCTATCAAAAGTTATTTGCGAAAAACTGTTAGATACCATTCGTGACCTAAGATGACCTCAGGGCATAAACAAGGGTCACGGACACCATTTTCATGTTCTGTGTGTCTAAACCACTTGTAATTCGGTGTTTGGGAGTGTTTATAATGTCTTTCGTCCATAAGAGGCGCATTTCAATTTTCTCCCATTGACTTATAATGGGGAGGTCGCAAAATTGACCTGACCTTAGGTCATCGATATCAAAATTCTGAGATATACATTTTGTACATGCTATTGCTCTTAGCAATCGCTGAAAGTTTCAAAGCGATCGGTCACTCGGTGTAGCTATGACAGACATTGAAACTTTTTATGAGGTGAGGTCACTTCAAGTGACCTGGTGACCTGACCTTGAATGACCTTGGTCTGAAATTTTCACAACATGTGTAGAATTGATGTATGATAAGGTGTACCAAAAACGGCGGCGCTCCGCGCCGCCGTTTTTGAGATATTCGCGAAAAACCACAAGGGGGGGTGTTCAAACACCCCCCCCCCCAGCAGGGCGCGGGTTAAGCGTGTGACGATTGTGTTGCAAACCAGTAAATGCTCAAAACGTAGCTTAAATCCGCAGGTTCTGCGTAGCTAAATTTCATTGCCTACTTTAATCTCTGTCAGACAAAGTTTTAGTAGTATGAAAACATGTAATATCTAAAAATTGTCTGAAATAAACTAATCTTTATCTTACGTCCAGAAAAACCCACTTGTAGATCCGAAAAAGGGGGCAAAAGTAGATTCCTGCTCGTTCTTGAAAATGGCTATCGAGAATTCTTCGAAAAGTCGAGCACTTCATAAAAAAGAGGGGTGGGCGTTTGACCCGCCCTGGGCCCTTTGCCCCACTCTACCCTACTCAGAATGCTACGGTGTAAATGATGGCTGATTTTTTTGTAAAGAAGTTTTGTATTTCTGTACATTTGTATATAGCTGTGTATAGTAGAATAAGTAAAAACAGATCCATCCTTGTGCCAAATATACCTACCTACTCGGGTGAGCTGAGTAGAGTAGGGTGAGTACCTACCTTTCTCTCTGAGGGTCTGGAATAAGCTCGGCAACAAGACCCCTGAATTTATGAGTTGTTTCTATATCGCTATTATCACCGACATCATTTGAGAGAGAGGGCCCACCGGCTACCCTACTACAAAAATACAAAATTTCACAACATATGAGCAGGCGACCCTAAACACGTATCTACGATATATAGGTACCCAGTAAACATGCCGACGTCGGCCCGACGTCGGCCGACGTCGGGGTGACGTCGGCAACTCGGCATCGGCATGCCGACGTCGGCCCGACGTCGGTCCAACCTCGGCACGACGTCCGCTGGATGTCGGATATGCCCGCATGTACCGACGTCCAGCCGAGGTCCAGCCGACGTCGGGCCGACGTCGGACCGAGATCAATTGCTGAGGTCCAGCCGACGTCGGGCCGATGTCGGACCGACATCGGCCGCTGTTTTGACCGTTAAAATAATATAAAATACATGTTTCATGTTTCATAAAGAGCTTCTGTATTCAAAATATCCTCAGGAAACTCAAATCTTCCTCCACGCCGCAACCCCCTGATCCGGACTGGACGGGAAACTTTATCCCATTTGGGATTGCCCGTAAGCCGAGCTCGCCCGTAGCCGGGTGCGGTGAGTGCTTGGGGGCTGCTCGGCCTATCCTTTGGTCAGGCTCAGCCCCGGCAACTCACCAGGGCCGGGCCCAGTTCATATAGAAATGCCAGTCGGCAAGTGTCACTTTGCCAAAGTGCCACTTATCAAAGGGACACTTTGGGAAACGTTGGTGCAGGTGTGTAAGAGTGGCTATATGAAATATGAATCCATTGTGGGGTCGCCCTTTCCAATAAGTGTTTAGTGTCACGTAACCTAGCAATGGGACCAGGGACTCTATATGAACTGGACCCAGGGTGCTCACTGCTCGCCAAGAAGACCAATGTCTCCATCCTATCATCCTTCCGGCTCTGAAATGGTCTTGTCAGATCGAAAGGGCATAAGCCAACAAAACAAACTAAATTCGCAATCTGGCTGCGTGGTGTAGTGGTTAGCGCACTAACCTCGCGTTCAAATGACACGGGGTTCGAATCCCTTCGCCGGCTGATGCTTTTGGCGTGTTGTACCAGTAAACATGCCGACGTCGGCGACATCTCGTAAACCTCGGCCCGACGTCGGCTCGACGTCGGCTGGACTTCGGCTGGACGTCGGAACATGCGGGCATATCCGACGTCCAGCCGATGTCGGGCCGAGGTTGAACCGACGTTGGGCCGACGTCGGCATGTTTACTGGGAAAACGCAGGCGTAGCAATTCCCCATAGCGCCATGACCTGGTGGAAGAGGCTTTTGGTCGAAACCCACTCATACCCAGATCCCAACAGATCCCAATGCAGCCACGCAGCCAGCCAATGCAGCCACTCCACGCGCCGCCGCCGGGCAGACGTGTGGCGATCTGGCGGCCACTGACACTCTAGTTTGGATTTGGCACAGCCGGCAATGCAATGCCACACGGCCCTAACTGCAGTGCATACTGCATAGGTATCCGGGCGGGCGTGCAGTACGTGTAGTGTGCACCTACCCCGACTGTGACCATAGCATGCAGGGTCACTGAGCTGAGAGCTCAGCTCAGCCGCCACGTATCTACCGTGCTGCACATTACACATCATCTCGCCGAATCTCCGGTCAGCAGTGATGGGCGACACGTCAGTACGTAGCACGATATGCCGTTGTGGTCCGCCAATGCCCATCCGTCTGCCAAAGCATGATCCTGGCGCTTGCGCTGGAGGTGTGCCGCCGCCTTCAGGCTCTTCGAACGGTCTCTGAGGACGCCTCACACGTCCTTTGTCGGGTCGGTGTCTGTTAAACGTGTGCACGACCCTGACAGCTCTCCCAGACAACCTGACGAGGCCTAACCCGCGCCAGGTCGGAGATCCGATCGTAACACATCGAGACGGGGAGGGGAACAGAGCGGCTTCCCGGACGAAAGTTCGTACTAACACAATGCTCACAGTTCATCTGCACAAGGGCTCGTAAGAAAAGGCTTGTACGCAAGGGTTCCTATATGGGATACCTATGCTTGGTAGTGGATAGAGGTGGAAATGAATATTAGTCATTAGTCAAAAATTAGTCGACTAACGTTAGTCAAGCGCTTTTTTAGTCAGTCAAAAGTCAGTCAACCAAAATGTTTGTTAGTCATTAGTCAGTCATTAGTCAATGATTTTGGTGCATATTAGTCGACTAATTTGTCGTGTTTCGTGAGGTGACCTAACCCTCGCATGTGTAGGGGGGGGGGGGGGTCGGATGGACCCCCCATGGTTTTTCGCGAATAACTCGCGCAAAAAGCGGCCGATCGCGACAAAACTTTCAGTACCCTCGAGTTGATCAAT